AATCTACTTCTGTAGTGATACTGCCTCGGCAACCCAAGGAGGGGTTGCTATGATTTGGGGCCGACTCGACGGCTCACAACAAGAAGTCAGTCAGAAGTCCTCCATATCTTATTAAGTGGCTACTAATTTAAGTATCATTCATATATATTCTCTAAAGTAAGAGAAAATCACAAAGACAAAGGTGAATAAATTAGTGAGAAAGGACAGTGATACTTACCGATATATTTATAAGCTTTTCCCAGCTTAACCAAATGTGCTAAGGATTGCTCCACTATGCTTGCAGTCCATTGGTTTATATTGTTTTGATTATAGTCTTCACCACCTAAGACCCCATCTATACACTAAAAGAGCAGAGAACAGTTAAATTAGCCCCAAAGAATATTTTTTATGCAAATAGCAGCAAAAATTATTCAAGATATCAAATATATTTGTAACCAAATAAAGCATCTTGGAAAATATGCACTTGGTAAATACTTAGCATGCATGTCTCTAATTACTTAATAGCTTTTGAAGTGTTTCCACATGCATTATCTCACTCTATAAGGTACTATGGGGCATATAAAGATAAACATGACTCGGTCTCTGTTGTAAAGAACCTAACAATCTAGCAGAAAGGCTAATAAAACAACTCTAATATCTCTAAGACAAGGAAGACCAATTGAAGGTAATAAGTTAGGCCATAAAAAAAATTATAGTGGGGAAGATTAAAAGAGGGTGACATCAAAGAGGATGACTTTGAAACAGCTTGGATTTGAACTGGATCTCATACTAGAAACAAATGGGGCTAATGTAAACATACACTTCTCACATACATATAACAATTACATTCTCATTTATACTATATAACCGTTCAACTATAAAACAACTAGCACATGTACCACTGAAAGTAAATGATCAACCAACACCATTTTTCAGATGCCTTAGAAAGTTAAATAATTTTCCATACTGCATATTTGCATCCACTTTTGACACCTGATAAGAGCACCGGGCTTTAGTGTTAAAATTCTAAGTTTTAAGGCAAGTTCTACCTCCTACTTATTGTCCAATCTTTAGCAAGTGACTTAACCTCTCCAAGCCCCTATTTTTCTAATCCTTAATGTATGAATACATCATCATAGCAGGGTGTTGTGAGGATGAAATTAAATAATGAAATGAGATAATGAATTTGCTCAGCACAGTGAATGGTGTCCAGTTAGCATTTAAATAATGTTATACATTATTGTTATTATTGTTATTGCTGCTGCTGCTATTGTTAGTTTATATTCAAGTGAATGAGCCTGAATAATAAAGCAGTCATGAAATTCATTTAGAGAGTCCAGCTTAATAGAGTATAAGCACACGCAGCTTTCATTTGCTTCAATTAGATTATGGTAAAGATTTATAGGAGGTCAAAAGGACAGCATTTGCCCAGGGACAAAGCTGAGAAGATAGGAAGAGACAGGAAAGAAGGACAAATGGAAATGGGAACCACAGGGAAGTGGTGGGAAGAATGCTGTTACACTGTGGGGACTGCACTTAATGTCATGAAACAAAACGTGTATGCAATGTTGAATGGAAAGCCAATTCGATCTGTAAACGTTCACCCAAATAACAATAAAAAGTTAAAAAAAAGTCCTATAAAGCCACAGTAAATTAAATTAAATAAATAAAAGAAACACACATCCATGGTTTCAAAACTCAAATGGAATAGAAGGGGTTATAATGAAAAGCACGTCTCTTCCTACCCTTCCACATCCCCAGTCCCATTCCCCAGAAGAAATCACTTTCAGTGGTGTATCTATTTATTTTTATTTTTTCTAAAGGTTACTTCTTCCCTCTTCACCTAGACCAATGACGGGCACCAGCCTGGGCACATGCTTCTATGGACTCACTTTCCCTGGGGTGCCTCTTTTCAACCTAGTCTTTTCATTTGGGTCAGAACTTGGGTATAGAAGATGGTACTATTTAAAGCCCCCTCAAGGACTCGAGCATCCTTTCCTTCAAGTTCCATTGACCAAGAACATTCTCTTTTGACATCCTATTTTGTACAATGAGGTTACTTTTGCTTCTGCCCTTCCCATTACTTCCTCTCCCATTTTCCCTCATTTGTACTTTTATGTTGCCAAGGAGTAGAAAACATTTGCATTCTGTTATAACAATGAAATATTCCTAGGGAATACAGTTTTAACATGACTTTGAACTATTAAAATGTGGCACGATTTTCAGGAGCCTGTCTAGCTCTCTCAGACCCCAAGTTGAGTCTAGCTGTATAAGAGCAGAGCTGAATTAGTCTTGCCACAGAGCATTCAGACATGTGTGGGCACTATCCCAGAGTGGACTGATGATGCACACAATGCCCAGGGGGCAGACTCACTCCAGCCCAGACAGCACTTAGGGCCTTCGAGGACATAGGTCCCAATAGCCAGAGTCACAATACAAACCTGTCACACAATACAAAATGGGCCAGATCATTGTGTTCTAGAATTTCACAGAGTTAAAAATGACTCAGGACTCAGTGTTCATAAATACCTTACTGTGACCAAAGTATAGTCTATATGTGATATCACTAGAATAATTAAAGTTCCTCTGCTAGAAATGATTCCCAAAGAGGAACTTTTTTTCTATTTGAATAACCAAACCA